TGCTGATATTGCATTAATGCAATGGAGTCAAATGCTATCGATATTATTTAAACATTAAACAAGTTTTAATTACAAAGAAAATGTGTTTTTGCGTCAAACTTTCCGTTTGTATCATGTAATACTCATGTACAGTTGCCTGCAATCTAGGGGTATCATTTTATGAGATAAAAATACAATTTCTTCACACTGAATATGTATGATACAGTAAATAGTGTAGAGATATGTTCATTTTTTGTATTATAGTGACATGCTGCAGTAATCCAGTAAATCTGAGTGTCGGAAAACCATTTACTCTCTGGACTCGCTCTATATTTCATGAAAATGTCGGTGTTTTAGAATCTGGATTGATTTGATCCATTTTGGTCTTATTTATCAGTACCAGGGGCGGATTTAGGGGGTTGGGGGCCGCCCCCACTTACGGAGCTACACATATGATAAATGCATATACTTTTTACAAGCATCGGTCTAAACTAGGCCCCCTTTTTCAAAATCCTGGATCCGCACCTGAACACACTACTTTTATTTTTATATTTGTTTCTGTTATATCAGTGGTGCAACTTGACCTTTATTTCCTTCTTGGTTTTGGGTCTGAATGTTTAACATTTTTCTACATTTACATCTTCATTTAGTGCGCGGCATGTGAAAAATACTTTTTTTTTCAAAAAAAGATTAAAGTCCCATAGAGCTGCAACAACAACTGTGAAAATCGACAAAAAAAATAAAGACCCACAGATTGCCATTCTTTATAATTTTATAAAGTTTTAAAGTACGTATAACTTTATTGCGCGACATGGGAATAAGTGCTTATTTTTCGAAAGTAAATGCTCCGTAACTCTGAAATGATAAAAGTGAAAATCGCCAAAAAGTATACAAACCAACATGCAGTATGCATATGAATGAAGTAAATCGCTCAAGGTATACTTGGTATAGCACGCGACATCATTTTACCGAAAAGACGGACACAGGACGGTCTGAACATGGTATATATCCACCTTTAAATAGTTCATGCATACTTAGGCCTCTAATACCATAATGTGTTGGAGCGTATAAAAAAACAAAAGTTGTGTATATTTTTTTAACAGAAACTTTATCTAAAGATCTGATTTTAACATTAATTCACGCAATAGGAGAAAAAATAAACTGTTATGTTCAACTTAGATACATACAGTTTATTTCGCTTCATGAACAACAGTTTATTATATTATTCACTTTTATAATTTTACAAACATACATTATAAAAGTGAACGCATTAAGAAAATACATTTACTTTATAACCATTAACTTACAAGCTATATTTTATAGTTCTAAATGTTTATGAATATTAATGCTGAATTTGATCATTATTGACTATTTATTTCCGCTACCCAGAGTTCCTGGTAGTGAAATAAGAAATGAATTATCACTTATCCTTCCTGAAAACAAGAGTTCAGTCCTGGCTTTCTGTTTATTTTTTTTTTGTGTACTTGCGCTAGTCCTATTCACTTTTTTTACAATTATATTTTCTCCGTTTATTCATCTTAGTTGTTTTGATTATCCCATACCATCTTCTAACTTTTTTTAATCATATCATTTTTTAAATATTTGTACTACTTGGCAAAACTCAGAGCAGACGGAATTTTGATATCCTCCAAATGATCCGGGTCAAAGTAGTTTCCATCAAGATCCGGTGTAATGACACAAAAAATGACAGAAACGAGAGTTAGCAACAGACAGAAACGAGATGAACAATAGACAAAACGAGATGAACGATAGATAAAAATGAGATTAACGATAGACAGAACGATATTAACGATAGACAGAAACGATAACGAAAGACAGCACGAAATTAACGAAAGACAGAAACGAGATTAACGATAGACAGAACGATTAACGATAGACAGAACGAGATTAACGATAGACAGAACGAGATTAACGATAGACAGAACGAAATTGTCGATTTATAGAAACGCGATTTCCGATAGACAGAAACAGACAAGCCACGCTCGCCTTTCAGTATTGGTCTACTGTTGGACGAAATATAGCCATTCATATTCCTATTCATTTCAAAACGATTAAATGAACGAGGAGACAATTTAACTATAAAGAGATTTATATCTTCAGTTATTTAAAATGTGAACCGAAAAGTCAAATACTGTAAAGAAAAGTAACAGCACTGGAATAATAATACTTTACACATCAGTATACAAATGATAGATAGTACTATATAAAAATAAACAGATAAGGTATGATTGCCAATGAGACAACTATCCACCAAAGTTCAAATAAAGTGGATGTAAGCAATTATAGGCAACCGTACGGCCTTCAACAATGAGAAAAACCAATACCGTATCGCTACTGTCGAGAGGCAGGTCAGGATGAGATAGTACTCACGACAGTGTATACATATGTCAACTAAAAGGTAAACTGTAACTTGCTATAGTCATATAGAAAAACAGCATCGGAATAACTACTTTCGGAATAACTACTTTCGGAATAACTACTTTTTGAAGGTTATAACTATGAAGACCCAATCATTCCATGCGTTTTATGTCAACTTTACAATCGGTTTTCCTTTTTTTAACCTCATTGTTCTAATTTAAATTATTTTATATGCACGTCAAATGTTATTTACAAAATTTTGCAACAGGAACTAACCGGGTATTTTAGTGTGCCCTAAATGAACATTTTTCTGTGTCAATGACCTGTAATCTATTTTATGACATTTATCACGAAAGAAAAGCCTTATTTAAATAATATTAAAGATAATAATAAGCTATATATCATCGAAACAAACAAAGCAATTTATTCAGTCAATAGGCTATTTGTTCATCCTATGTTTATAATCGGTCAGTGATTTTTGATACAAACATTTTTTTAGAGAATATTTCTCACGATTGTGTTTCCCAATTTCTATCTTTTGCCTTTGATAAACTATATATGAACTGGAATACTAGGAATTAAAGACGGTTGAAAACATCTCTTTTTTTTCTTTTTTTTTGTTGTTCATTTGCCAAATTTGGTGGTGTATCTGATTGTTGATGCACCTATCCACAATAAATGAAGGCTCTTGATAATCTAGTGACTGCTATACGGCGTAGGTGTCTGCCCATCGTTAAAATAAAATGCATTTGTGGACATCTAGATGTTCATGTATGGTAACCCGGTGTAGTTCGGTTGCTGGGTTTCTGCACCACTTCATAAATAACGCAGTTGGTTTCTATTTGTGAACACCTTAAATGTGCACGATTCACAGGTGTGGATCCAGGATTTTGAAAAGGGGGAGGGCTAGTTAGCCAACGTTTGGAATGGAATGCAATTTATAAAAAGTCTACATATTTATAATATATGTAGCTCCATAATGGGGATTCCTCTGATTCATCTATAATTGTTTTAAAAAATACCTTTATTTTAATACAAATGACACTTTCTTATATCGTGCACTGTACCGGAAAACTAATATTACAAGACAAAGCGGAGATAACCACAACAGCACACGTAAATGTTTCAGTACAATTGATATTTGAACAGTGACCACAAAGGAAAATTAAAACTCAAATCAAATATTAGTATCGGCGATCATTTGTAAATTAAGTGGTTTGTCATACATCATGAACTACAACATGGTTAAAGAAATTCTGCAGAGACTGGTCTAAGGGGACATTAATTTGGTATTTTTTGTGGGGAGTGGGGCAGGAGAATCTTTTGCGGATTGACTATTTGGTTTCATCTGTTGCTTCGCATGCTTATTTTTTCCCGCACGGAAGTTTTCACTTTTGTACACAATTATGTTGCAGAAAATTCATTTTCATTCTACATTGCATGGGCAAAATCATTTATTTTCAGCTCAAATCAGGCCTTGATATTCACCCCCCCCCCTTTTTACCCCGAAAATCGATCGTGATTTTACTTCAGAAAACGGGACAGTTAACAATATTTGACATGCAACATACGACTTAAAAAGAAGGGTGTTAACTCTATAGCAACGTTTTTTGAACGGACATTCATCATTTTAGTCATAATTAATTTTGTATTTACATTGTGTTATAGATCAAATTTTTTCGTTTACTGTATGTTCACTTGTTTTTGTTAATATGTCTTTTGAATGAGTTAAGCCATTTCAATTGATATTTTATAGTGTGTCTTTCAATGTTGTGATGTTACACTATTGTTTCAGGTAGGGTGAAGTTTAGCGCCTATTAAAACGTCTAAACCCGCTGCATTTGTTTGCACCTGTCCTATAAGTCAGGAACCTGATGTTCAGTGGTTGTCGTTTGTTGATGTGGTTCATAAGTGTTTCTCGTTTTTTTATAGATTAGAACGTTGGTTTTCCTGTTTGAATGGTTTTACACTAGTCATTTTTGGGGTCCTTTATAGCTTTCTGTTCGGTGCGAGCCATGGCTCCGTATTGAAGGCCGCACTTTGACTTATAATGGTTTACTTTTACAAATTGTGACTTGGATGGAGAGTTGTCTCATTGGCACTCATACCACATCTTCTTATATCTATAATTACGAATTATCGCTATATTACACAAAAGACAATATGTATATTATACTATGTTGGTGCTTAAAAAAAAAAACAGTCCGCTTTCCTTGGTTGTTCTAGACCTGTCGACAACGAAACTGCTGGTGCAATCATGCCATTTGAACATATGGCTGTCGCTTCTTCAAAGAAAAAACCATTTGCATGAGCACTCTATGTGGAACTTCTGTGTTCCAGTGAGAAATAGCAGAATTATCTTTGTCATAAGATGCAAATAGGACATAAACCCTTTAAACTAAAATCCAAATCTTAATAGTAATAGCTAATCTTTATAAATTGTCAAATAAAGTAAAACATACATATATGGGGGTTTGTGAAATATGTAAAAATAATAAAAAAAGCAGGTTGGAATATATATAAGCATAAGTAATAATTATCATGATGAATGCATATTTTTCAGTCTATAACATATATTAAATTTTAAACCATTCAGTAAGCATAAAATGATAAAATATGACAAAAATATGATTATAACTTACCAGAAAAACACAAAAGAAAAATGAATGGATGCAGAGCATTGTATCAACCTTTACTCCGGCCTTCCATGTCTGGACAGTTCACTTGTCCAGCTCTTAAAGTTTCAAAGTGTATCTCAATTCACCTGTCCGGTCAGTCTTAAAGTTTACACAGTGTATCTTCAGACGTCGATCTTAAGACACTGAATACTTTACCCCATTTTATGTAAATCGTATCCGAAACAAGACAGAGATGTGAATTTTTACCTGTTAAAGGTAAACTCGGGTCAGTTGTAACTAATTTCCACAGATAAAGTCAATCTGACTCAATTTGATAACTTCATCGTAAGTATCATACACGTAATTTGTTTAAGTATCGCGTCCCTGACTCTACAATATCCCTCTGCATAGATTAATCAAAATACTTTCACAACTGACATTTGAATGAAATGTTATTTGTAATATAATTTCTACAAACTTCAACTTCAGTTTTGCGTCTAATTGCGATTAATTCAAGTGAAGCATTAAATTTGATTATTAAAGTGCGTCGATAAGCTAATATTTTTTTGTTAATATGGAATATTTTCATTGGCCAACATCAGAACAATTGACAGCTGATAATCTTACCAGTACAGCATTACGCCACAGATGTAATAATATGCTTGATGCATGAAAAATAGTTATCTAATTATAAGGTGAGAAAAATTCTTTCCAAATAATGAGTGGCAACCCTTCACTATAACAGTACAATTGATTTTAAAAGGTTAAAGGTACAGTTATAAGGTAACATATATCTAAGCCGGTACAATAGAAATGTAAATTTGAAAAGGAAATAGTGTATTTAAGGAAAACGTGCATTGTTTGAATTTTACGAAAGGACTTTCTTTGCAACATAAATTTTACAGAAAGGTATATGTTTTCCGGTTTCACCAAGATAAAGCAGTTCAAATTATAAATCGAATGAAAAAATTGGGTGGTATTAAATTGAGTGACACAAATAACCTTGAGCTTGAAAGGACAAGCGGTGTCGTTTTTTATAACATTTTGTGATTTGTTTGTTTTTGATTGCATTGTTTAATGGTATGCTATCTATACGTCGTACAAAGAACCACTTGTTCAATACTATCTTATTTCAAAAAGATCGCGTGTATCGACTTCTTAATAAATTGGGCGTTACATACTAACGGTCACCTTATAGTTTACTTTTATGGCCAGTATGTAAACAAACCAAACTTTGATCGGAGTATTTATAAATTGAAAGCTTCGATTTGACTCTTTGATTCTCTTTAGACCTTTCAGTCATTTATTTCAAAGGCGAGGGTCATAAAGAATTCATATAACCTGATATTCAGTGGTTGTCGTTTGTTTATGTGGTTCATAAGTGTTTCAGGTTTCTCGTTTTTTATATAGATTAATTAGACCGTTGGTTTTCCTGTTTGAATGGTTTTACACTAGTCATTTTTGGGGCCCTTTATAGCTTACTGTTCGGTGTGAGCCAAGGCTCCGTGTTGAAGGCCGTACTTTGACCTATAATGGTTTACTTTTACAAATTGTAACTTGGATGGAGAGTTGTCTCATTGGCACTCATACCACATCTTCTTATATCTATATACATTTTCCTTCAAACTATAATGAGATTCAACATCCCATGATATTCGTGATCTTACTTTCTGTTACAAACGATTGGTGTAAATTCAAAGTAATGTCTCACCGGACGTAAACAACCAATAATCAATCAATAAAAGTAATGTGCATTCAGATTGATTGATTAATGGCGATTTAATGCCGCGGCAGGAACTATTTTTCAAGAATAGATCAATTAAAGTTGAGCCAAAATGCCATATCACAGATATAAAATCGCTATTAAAACATTACCAACAGTCTTATTAATTTCTTAATGACGCACAACGAAACACTTTGGTCCGCCCTGTATTTTACTTTAAAATACTTTTTATAGTTTGAAATAATTTCCTTTTTCAAAGCGACTTTCGCAATGCAGACAAGTTGTACGTCACCATTATCAGTATAACAAATTATATCAAAATTTCATTAATCAAAAGTAAATGCAAAAGGGTTGGTTCGGTATCGTCCCATGTATGATTTTAAAAATGGTAAGAAAATATAAAAGACACATGTCGAGGGAAGATGTGCGCCATCACACACAACACCATGACTTTATAAAAGGCGAAAAGACGAACAAAAATCCACAAAACCATACGCACCACAAGACTTATTACAACACGAAAACCAACTAAAAATGTTTCGATATGGTAAGCAGGTTGTCCCTCAGAAATGGCACACATCGTGTTGCTCACTTTATGCAAATTGCGGTTACGAGTTGTATTTGCTTATAGTCATGAGCGAGAAATAAGAGAAAGGGACTACGGCTACGACACATGGCTCGAACATATGCCTTGTCATCTGTGACACAGGTATTCGAGAACTGTAAACCTATTTAACTTTCTAAGATATGGCCTCAACTTTCCCATCAAGAACACTTGGTTCAATAGCTTCCGTGTAAATATATGCCTTGTATCAAGGAAAACATGAAGAGTAAGAGCCCTTGAATATAATATCAACTCGGAAATATATATACTCCATATGCAGATGATGCTGGAGTGTTGCTACAAAAAAAAGGTAGAAAGAAAACACAATGGGAAATAGTAATTATCTCTCTTCTCGGAACATTCTCATCTGATCCGTATTCTCAATGTCTAGTAACAGTTATAACGCAAACCAAAACTTTTGAATTATGCACACACAGCGATACTTATGTTTTTTTTTTTTGTTTTTTTTTTTGTTCATGTAATTATTGCACTATTCATTTCAAAGATTATATGCCGTCATTGCAATATTTGATCGAGACACTAGACAATATATATATAAAGTTTGAAATGATTATTATGATACAATCTGCTATTGTTTTTGGCATAGAGTATACTTGTAATCTTTTAATCAAAAACTGCATCTTAATCTTTTAATACGGAGAGACATAATTTAAGTATAAGATAATAAACTGCATTTTAATCTAGACATTTGGTTCCGTTTCATATATAACCTCAACACTAATCTGGCACTGCTAACTACAGGATAAATTTAAGTGGGAACAACTAAAGTAATATATGCAGTTTCTTAAAAAGCTTTGTATCTCATAATATATGTCTACAGTGAATATGAATTACATATTGCTCGTCAATGTTGTTTTTCGTAGTTAACGTACGTTATGAAAAGAAAGATGGCATTAACCAACCCTTACACTTTTTCTTGTGTCTCTGGGGCACGTGCGAAATCTGATAAAAGGGTTTGGCGCCCACTTACATGTTTAACTCAGCCACATTCTATATGTGCCTGTCCTAAGTCAGGAGCCTGACATTTAGTGGCTGCCGTTTGTACATTATATATTGTTCTGTACATAAATCAGGCTGTTTGTTTTGTCGTTTGAGTTTTTTTACATTTGTCAATTCGGGGCCTTTTTATGTAGCTTGCTATGCGGTATGGCTTTTGATCATTGTTGAAGGCCGTACGATGACCTATAGTTGCTACACTGAAAACCTAAATTAGTCAATTTGACCAATTTAATTGGTCATTTTGACTGTCCTCTAGATGACAATGCACTTTAATCATTTTGACTATGCTCTTAGTCGTTTGACTAGATGGTTAGTCACATTTGACTGAGTAGGGTGGTAATTATGACTATGTTAGGAAGTCAAAATGACTATATGTTATACTCGTTATGACGAATTGGATTGTTCAATTGACTATGCACATTTGTCAGTTTGACAATTGAATGCAGTCCATATGACTTATTGAAATGGTCGAAAGTGACCATGTTGGTTAGTCGACATGATTACTGTGAATAGTCACGACTGTTAGACAGTTATTTTAATTTGTGTTGTGTTTTTTGTTCTACCATTTTACTTTGTGTGTGTTTCTATCCGTTCTGTACTTTTGTGTTTCATTTCTTCTGTTATTCTACTTTATGTTGTTTCTCTTCCATAGGATTGACAAATACATTTGGAATATAATACCTTAAAAATACCACAGCAGCAATACTAACAATGACAACAGTATAGGACCACAAAGTGCTCAATGTTCAAAACCTTCCTATATCTTAAGTTCCCATGTGTTACCATTACTCAGTGACATATATTAAAAGTCTAAAAATCAAATAAAGAAAATGTATTTATTATAAACTCATTGTTACATACATTATGATATCCCAACTTAAATATATATTTTATACATTTTCAGTGTGTCAAAATTTGAAGTGTTTATTTAAGATATTTTGTCGGTATCAACTCTGCATGTGTCAGTGTAATATTCTCTCTGGTCAAAAATCTCTCAGCTGTGCTCATACAAATAGCAATGTCTTCATTTGCTGAAAAATATAATTATATCATTTTAGAAGCTAAAATATAACAATAAACAAGTATATCAGTCATGTTAAAAGTTAAAAGAAAAAAACAAATTTTAAAATATTTGATCTAGTGATGTAGTCACTCATCTTATACCATTATTTTGTAATGTAAGCACCGGGATCTTGACAGCCACCCATCCTATATCACAACATTGTAATGTAAGCACCAGGATCTTGACAGCCACCCATCTTATACCACAACATTGTAATGTAAGCACCAGGATCTTGACAGCCACCCATCTTATACCACAACATTGTAATGTAAGCACCAGGATCTTGACAGCCACCCATCTTATAACACAACATTGTGATGTAAGCACCAGGATCTTGACAGCCACCCTTCTTATAACACAACATTGTAATGTAAGCACCAGGATCTTGACAGCCACCCATCCTATATCAAATCATTGTAATGTAAGCACCAGGATCTTGACAGCCCCCCTGAGGTTTTTTTTTTAATTTATTGTTGTGAATATCGATTGCAGTGTTTATTTTTAACAGTTTTTGGTCAGATGAAAAAAAGATATCGCTAAATACCCTTTTCAATCGACAATACGTTGAATGTGTATCAAAATTGATATCCCGTATACATATCTCCCCCTTTTTTATTGTCATTATGTCAACATGTGCCGATATTACATTCGTTCCACTTCTTTTTCTTAAATTTAATTTTTGTAAGTTAGAATTAAAACATTTATATACATGATACTTACTTTAAACAATTGGTATAATTGACAAAATAACAGTTTCGTGCCTCCTGGTTTGTTTACATCTACACGATCTAGGGAACAAAGGGAACGCGAAAGAGTGCGCGTGAAAACCGATACTCTACACCACGTGGTGCTGTGACCACTAACATAGTCAAATTGACCGTGCAGGTAGTCACAATGACTAGATTAGTAGTCATATATGCTGTTGACTACCTTTCGGCTAATATTTGACTAACTGAATAGTCATAGTGACTAATTTAAACTTTCAGTGTAGCCTTCTACGTTATTTGGTCTCTGGTGTAGAGTTGTCTCATTGAAAAACATACCATATCTTCTTTTTTTATATTGTGATATTACTTTACAAGATAAACTGTCAGTGCACTCAGAGAATAATGTTGACAAT